GTGGCGTAACTTGAGCCATCCAAGGGATCGTCAGAGGACGTCGCTGCGTCTTCGGGGTCAGGGGTCGCCCCCGCTGCGCATGGGGCCGCTTACATGTGCTGGTCAGGCCCTCTAGGTCTCCATTTGACCCCGGAATTGCGCACCAAGATAGAAAAGGGGGAATTCGTTGAAATTTTTTCCTTGCTCCCTATGGAGGATCTGCCTCGGGTTGATCCTACGGCAAAAGACTCTGAAAAGGAGAAGGAGAAGTTTAGGTATCGGAAGATACCAAAAACTTTTGGTAATTGGATTAGGGCCTTTTCGATCCTGGCGAGTGTGATAGGTGAGAAGTCCCCTAATAAATGCTCATCTCTCTTTTGCTACCAGGATACGATATGGAACGCGTGCCGGACCTATGGCGGGTTAGGCTGGTGGCGCTATGATGAGCAGTTCCGCCAACGCATAGCGGTCCGCCCATCGTTGAGTTGGGACCAGATGGATATTGGCTTGTGGTTGGCCATCATGACCCGCCCGGCGTCACATCAAGGGGGCCTCTCGTCCTTTCTTGGGGGGGCCGGCGCAGGGTCCTCGACCGCTGTGTCGGCCAATCAGCGACGAACGGGTTGTTGCTGGCAGTACAACGAAGGGCAATGTAAATTCAGCGCAGGCTGTCGTTTCAAGCACGAATGTTCTGGGTGTGGCGGATCACACCCCGCCTCAAAATGCTTTAAGCGGGGCAGGCCTGGCGACAAGGGTGACGCCATGGGCTCAAAAGGCGAGGACGCCGGTGGACGTAGGCGCGATGCAACCGTGGTTAAAACGTTATAAAAATAAAAAGGCGGCCACCTTACTCCTGGAAGGTTTTACGTTTGGCTTTTGGATTCCCCACCAACCTCGACCGGCGTCAAATGTATGCCGGAACTTGCGTTCGGTCTATGACCACCCTGGGGTGGTCAGGGACAAGTTGGCCAAGGAAGTGGCTTTGGGGCGTATGGCAGGCCCTTTTCGGGAATCCCCTCTCCCGGATCTCCGGGTGTCGCCATTAGGCGTCGTACCCAAGAGAGAACAGGGTAAATTTTGGCTCATTCATCATTTATCGCACCCCCATGGGAGGTCTGTAAATGATGACATTGCATCGGAATTATGTCGTGTTTCCTACGCCTCGTTTGATGCTGCGGTTCGTATGGTCAGAGCTGCCGGATCAGGGGCACTCATGGCAAAAGCAGACATTGAGTCTGCTTTTCGCCTCTTGCCGGTTCACCCGGGATGTCATCATCTCTTAGGTTGTTACTTTGAGGGGCATTACTATGTGGACATGTGCCTCCCGATTGGCTGCGCGATCTCCTGCTTCTATTTCGAGTGTTTTAGCTCATTTCTTGAATGGGTGGTGAGAATGGAGTCTGGTCACAGCTCCCTCCTTCACTACTTAGACGACTTTTTGTGTGTTGGTCCCGCGCATTCCTCAATCTGCTCACAGATTTTGCAGTCGGTGGCGGATGTGGCCTCTGGGCTTGGTGTACCGCTGGCGCCCGACAAAACAGTGGGCCCTTCAACGTGCCTGTGTTTTCTTGGAATTGAGATTGATTCCGTTATTGGGGAATGTCGGCTCCCGGTGGACAAATTGGTAGATCTACGGGGGTCTGTGCGTGAGGCGGGCTCCTTGCGTAAGATCACTCTCCGACGCCTTCAATCCCTTTTAGGCAAGCTAAACTTTGCCTGCCGGATCATGCCTATGGGCAGAGTATTCAACAGGCGTCTGGCGGCCGCCACATCTGGAATCTCGAAGCCCTTCCACTTCATCCGCTTAACTAAGGCGCTCAGGGAGGATCTGGCAGTCTGGGCTGTTTTTCTTGAAACTTACAACGGGAGGTCTTATTGGCAGCAGCCAGAAGTTTCGAATGCAGCGCTTCACTTGTTTACAGATGCTGCGGGTTCCTCGGGTTTTGGGGCTATGCTGGGGTCTCATTGGTGCGCGGAACCTTGGCCTGTATCTTGGGTCGATTCAGGCCTTACCAAGAACCTGGCGTTCTTGGAGCTCTTCCCCATCTTGGTCGCTGTCCACCTATGGGGTACGGAGCTCAAAGACAGGCGTGTCGTCTTCCACTGTGATAACCTGGGTGTAGTTCAGGCCATCAATAACCTGACGGCCTCTTCCCCTCCAGTGGTTAGGCTATTGCGACAGCTGGTTTTGCGATGCTTGTCTCTGAATATAACATGCCGTGCTGTGCATATTCCCGGGGTCATGAATATTACGGCTGACTCTCTTTCTCGCTTTCACTGGCAGGTGTTTCGGAAAGCCGCTCCGGGAGCAGACTTGGAAGGCCTCCCCTGTCCCAGAGAACTATGGTCCCTTGGCCTGAGCGGATAAGGGAATGGATACGGTCCTCGGTGTCTGAGGCGACATGGGTCCGGTATGGTAAGGCTTGGGGGGACTGGGTTGCTCTTGAACAGGATTGCGGGGGTTACACTTCTTCGGCGGAACGAGTTCAAGGTTTGTTACGTTTGCTTTGGTTTTGGGAGGCTTGCGGGTGTTCCCCGGCTACTGTTTCGGGGAAGCTTTCGGGTCTTAGTTTCTGGTTTAACCTAACTCGGGTGCCGGATGTCACAAAAGATTTCATGATTAAGCTTGCGATGCGTGGTTGGCGTAGGGGCCCTCGTGGACAGGATTCTCGTAGGCCGGTCTCGGGGGCGCTGCTGCTAGGAATTGCCTCAGTACTACCGCAGATATGTTATTCCGATTATGAAGCTAGTTTATTTCGTTTGGCCTTCATTTTTGCCTTTTTTGGGGCCCTTCGGATTGGGGAACTAGTCAGCCCGAGCAGGGGGACTCCGGGGGGCTTGTTAGTTCATGATGTGTTCCTCTTGGATGGTGCGGTGCGTTTCTTGATACGGCGGTCAAAAACTGACGTTGTTGGGAGAGGTCGCTGGGTTACCCTTCGCACCATCCCTAATTCGTCTGTTTGCCCAGCCGCTGCGTATCAGTCCTACTGCTCCATACGCCCGAATCTTGCGGGTCCGTTGTTAATGCACGAGGATGGTACTTACCTGTCTCACTTTCAATTCCTCAGAGTATTTCGGTTGGCGCTCGACAAGCTGGGAATCCCGAGTGGTGAATTTGGGGGTCATTCCTTCCGGATTGGGGCAGCTACAGAAGCCTCTCGGTTGGGTTTTTCTGATCAAGTGATTCAGAGGATTGGGAGGTGGGAATCTGGGAGGTTTCGTTCTTATATCCGGCCCACGCGTCTGATGGGTGCCTCCCTTGTGTTTTCTCCGCAGGGTCCGGCCGACGGATCTGGCTGATTGGGCATTCATATATCTACTGGGCCCACCTGCGGGCAGGGGTACGCCCGGGTGGGACGCGACTTGGAGTTCCCCGGGAGCTGGCTGAGGTCCGATGGTTCGGTTTTCGGGGCATGCGCTGGGGCCAGCTTTTGCCGGAGGTGTTACAGTTGGCTACATTGTTGGGGGCCCCTGATGTATTGGTGATACATCTGGGGGGAAATGATCTTGGGGCGCTGCCTGCTTGGGGGCTTAGTGAGCTCATTAGACGGGATTTGGCGCGCTTGCTGGTCCTCTTCCCGCAGCTCTGCTTAGTCTGGTCAGGTATAGTATCTAGGAACTATTGGCGCCGCGCGAGGGATCAGGGGGCAATTGAGCGCTGCAGGGTGAAGATCAACAAGAGGGTGTCCAAATTCGTACTCGGGGTTGGGGGTGTCACAGTGCGACACCGGATATTCGAAAGGGAAGCGGCGATCTATTTTCGCCCGGACGGGGTCCATCTCACGGATGTGGGTTTGGATTTATTTAATCTTGCGCTGCAGGACGCGTTAGAGCAGGCCATGGCGGTAGTGGGGAGTCGCGCCCGCTGATTTAGGCTTAAACGCAGTAGGCGCTAGTGGCGGGTATGGTCCTTGCCAAACCAGTTGGAAAACGAGTACACCGGAAGAAGGAATGCTGGGTCTGGTCCCTCCCCTAAACTCGGAGAGTTTGTGGTAGTTGGGCGTGCCCCCCGTGCCAGTAAAAGGCGGCCAGGGGTTGGCATGGGGAATTGGAAGGCCAAGTTAAAAGGCCAGTTATTGTGGATGAGGGGGGAGGGCAGTTACCCTGGTTGGTGGTACTCTGGAGTCATTATGGTTTGGTTGGCAAGGACAATATTTTTCGATAAAATATTGGCTGATTGATTTATGTTTATTATTATAAATAAAGCTGTGGCCTGTTTTATACCACATTTATGTCTCTTGGTTTTAATTGGGGGGAAAATTGGGATAACGTAATTTTGATTGCTTTAGTTCGCACCGCACAATAACCACTACCTACACACAAGGCCCAGAGGAGGCGGGCTGAAAAGCTAGCCGGATAGGAGGCATGTGTGGGTGTGGTGGGTGTAGGTGTCACATGTGGGGGGTGTCACTTAGGTTAGGGGTGGGGTGGGGTCATATAAAAGGGCAGTCATTTTGTCCCTTACCTCAGCCATCTTAGAATAACGGCTGGTAACATCTTCCCTCCCGCCCACCCTTGCTTGTGATTGTTGTATATTGTATATCTCTAACTTTCTTTCTTTTCACAGCTGGCGGGTATGGTCCTTGCCAAACCAGTTGGAAAACGAGTACACCGGAAGAAGGAATGCTGGGTCTGGTCCCTCCCCTAACCTCGGAGAGTTTGTGGTAGTTGGGCGTGCCCCCCGTGCCAGTAAAAGGCGGCCAGGGGTTGGCATGGGGAATTGGAAGGCCAAGGTAAAAGGCCAGTTATCGTGGATGAGGGGGGAGGGCAGTTTCCCTGGTTGGTGGTACTCTGGAGTCATTATGGTTTGGTTGGCAAGGACAATATTTTTCGATAAAATATTGGCTGATTGATTTATGTTGTTATTATAAATAAAGCTGTGGCCTGTTTTATACCACATTTATGTCTCTTGGTTTTAATTGGGGGGAAAATTGGGATAACGTAATTTTGATTGCTTTAGTTCGCACCGCACAATAACCACTACCTACACACATGACCATTTACAAAATATTATTACATGGATGGAAGCTGAGAAGAGATTCCGATGTGGTAAAACTATTGATGCATCAGTTCAGAAGCAAATTCTGCTGGAAAAGCAACATTGGCGTGAAATTCTAGAAAGGCTCCTAGCCACAGTTCAGTTTTTAGCATCTTACAACCGACCATTTAGAGGTCACAGAGACACTTTAGAAGTAGAGAAAAGTGGCAATGTCATAGACCGGATAAAGCATTCTGCAATGTTTGAGCCTGTTCTCCGTGAACACTTACAGCGAATAGAAGACAAACGTATTCACAACCACTACTTGGGAAAAAACATACAAAATGAATTAATTGCCTTGGTGGCCAAGCACGTCAAGCAGACAATTATTCAAAAGATTCTTCAAGCAAAATATTACTCAATCATTCTTGATTGTACGACCGATATCAGTCACATTGAACTGATGACAGTGATATTGCGCCATGTTGATGAAGTGTCCGGCAATATTGAAGAGCATTTCATTGGATTTATAACAGTTGAAAAAACTACAGCTGAAGAATTAACAAAAACCATACTGTTTGAAATTGATGAGTTAGGTTTGGACATCAAAAACTGCAGAGGGCAAGGATATGATAACGGCGCTAACATGCAGGGAGAGAAAAGTGGTGTGAAAACCAGAATATTAAATATCAATCTTTAGCCTTCTTTACACCCTGTGGTTGTCACAGTTGGAATTTGGTGCTTGGTGATGCAGCAGCATCTTGTTCAAAAGCAAAATGATTTTTTGGTGTTTTGCAAAGGTTGTACACACTATTTTCCGGGTCATCCAATAGATGGTCTGTTTTAAAGGAGAAGGTAAATATCACCCTCAAGCCATTGTCTGAAACTAGATGGGAATGCAGAGCTGAGAGTGTAAAGGCTGTCCGGTACCAGCTACAAGAAATTGCTGAATGCCTGGAAGAAGTGACACAGAAAAGTAATGATCCTAATTCACTACAAGGAGAAATGTTGTCATCCGAGTTTGTTTTATCATTAGTTGTGTGGTATGAGATTTTGGTGAAAATAAACCTGGTCAGCAAGGTATCGAAAAAGTCTAATATGCAGTTGGATACTGCATTAAAACATTTGGAGGAATTCATGTGCTGTTTGGAAGACTACAGACAAAATGGCTACAATTCTGCCATAGTTGCTGCCAACGAAATTGCACAAGAAATGAACCTTGTAAGAGAATTTCGACAGTGCAGGATACGCAGGACCAAAAGAATGTTCGACTATGAGGACCCAGATGAAGTGTTGGTTAACCCTGCAGACAGGTTCTGAGCAAAATATTTCAACATTATTCTTGATAACATTCACACTGGTGCCGAGCCTCGATTTAAAGGTTTAAAAGACTACGTCAGCAATTTTGGTTTCATATATGATATTTCATCTTTATCTATGAAACCTGATGAAGAACTTTTAGAAAATTGTAAAGAACGTGAAGCACTTCTAACTTTACCAAATTTTCTTGATGCTGACATAAGTGGTTTGGAATTGTACGAAGAGCTACGAATGTGCACCCGTACTATGCCTCCAAAATTGGATATGTGCAACTCTCTGAAACACCTCATTGATAATAACTTAACTGACGTTTACCCAAACATTTATGTCGCATTAAGGGTCATCTTAACAATTCCAGTCACTGTAGCATCAGCCGAAAGGAGCTTTTCTAAACTTAAATTAATAAAAACATACCTAAGATCATCTATGAGCCAAGAGAGATTAGCTGCATTGGCAATTTTGTCAATTGAACACAATCTGGCTTCAAAATTAGATTATTCATCTGTGATAGATGACTTTACACATTCAAAATGTAGGAGAATGTTTTAAAGCTCACTTTTATTATATTGTGATTTTCATTTTATTAAGGCTCGGTATTCGGTTTTCCTCTGTTATTTCCTTGCTTTTGTTGTGTTATGACTTAATTGAGAGAATTCTTTCAATGTGATTGGAAATGCTGGCTGGGCAGCAGATGTCTGGTGTGAAGGATTTAGTGAGGTTGATAGCCCATCCAGGGTGACCAACGTTTAACAAATTGGATGAAACTCAGGTTTTGTATTTTAATATTTAAGGTATTGTCTACTCTTGTTAAAAACAAGAAACAGAGTTATTTATTTGGTATTACTTATTATTACTTTGTACCCATTATTTTCCTTGCACTATTGAGTAAACTGTACTATTTTTTTCTGTTTTTTTACATGTTCATAAAAAAAAATGTGATTGCGTTTTGTGTTTAAATATTTGCTATTGTTTGTTCTTGTTCAAAATAAAAAAACAGTTCTTTATTTGTTATTAAAAAAATAAAAAATATGGATGTATGTGGTCACATGACCGTTTTAAGTTACGTTTTTATTTTATTTCACTATATTGTAAAATATCATTATTTACTATGTGTATATACATTAGTATTACCACAAGAACAGAGAAATATGCAGACCGTCTCAATTATATGAATGAAACTTACTGCATTGACTGGAAAAAATATATCTATGTATAGCGCGATGTTCCAAGTATAGAACCTGGCTATTAGAAATAATATGGTCAGAGACCCTAATTAAACAAAGTATATACAAATGAACCTACAATCCTATGCCAGCCCAGGGTAGTATAGATCAAGAGGTAGTAAAAAAGATAACCTCACTCCCCCTTAAAATTAACTTTATTTTATATCGTTTTCTTCTTTTCTTTCCTATGCCTATCTAGCTAGCTTTACAGAGAGAGAGGCTTTATTAATGCTAATTATCAGTCTGTTTTTGACTGATTTTTTTACTTCTATTTTCAGTCCTTATCTCTCTCTGTTTTTCTTAATATGTTTCTAGTGTGACCAGGATACTTCCTAGGATGCATGGATTATAGAGACTTAGCTACTGTATACTCCTATCCCTATAGCAGATCACAATAAAGCTTAATTATAAGGGGGAGTGAGGTTATCTTTTTTACTACCTCTTGATCTATACTACCCTGGGCTGGCATAGGATTGTAGGTTCACTTGTATATACTTTGTTTAATTAGGGTCTCTGACCATATTATTTCTAATAGCCAGGTTCTATATTTGGAACATCGCGCTATACATAGATATATTTTTTCCAGTCAATGCAGTAAGTTTCATTCATATAATTGAGACGGTCTGCATATTTCTCTGTTCTTGTGTTTATATTTGGGGTTAAGCCCCTCTGAGACAGCTGGAGTCTCATACTGGTACGTTGGTCTCTGCGTGACCCCTGCAGCCACTGCCCCCCTTTTGGGGAGGTTTTGAGGTGGTGGGTGCGGCGGCTATACAGGGACTTGGAACGTTGTGTTCCTTGTTCTCTTTTTTATACATTAGTATTACTATAGAGATGTGCTTTTTAGTACTTTATTTTATATTTGAAGTTCACTGTACAGACATGTATGTCTTTTATCATTGTATGCATAAATTATGACGTCATTTTGGCGCCAATTTTGAACTAAAAAGTTTATATAAACCAGTTTATACCAGGTCTCTGTTTCTATATGCCAGTTGAAAAAGCCCTGTGCGGCGAAACGCGTTTTGGCTATTTTACTGTAGTATTTTATTATCTCATATTGTATTAATAAAGGATTATTGGCTAATATACATTTTTTTCTTCCTGCCATATTCCTATTATTTTCTATTTTTTATTTATTTTATTCCTGGACCTGGTTTTTATTTCAAGCACTTTTTATCTGTGCCCAAGAATCCTAGGTGGGGACTATACCACCCACGTTATATCAGTGAGCAGTATTTTCCTGCTCACTTAAATGTGAGTATTCTATATATATCTTTCTATTTACGTCTACATCCTATTATACAGTGAGCACTATTGTGTGTTACTCTCCATTTTTCCCGAGGATTTTCTCCACGTGCGCAAGCCTATACCCCATCAGTGGGGGATCCATACAACTGAATGTGAAGTAAAACCTGAGCTAGTCCTAGCTCTTAAATAGATGAGTGGGATACCTTATTACCTTGAATCCACACATACGAATTTTAAGTTATAGACTACACTATTGGAATCTCCCTCTGTTCTATTTTACATATCGTCATTTGGAACGAGAAATTCCTGACCATTTCTTCGCTTGGACCATTATCTCCTTCACAATTCCTCGATTGATTTTTACTGTTCTAAGCTTATCCAAGGACTTATTTATGTTCTTTTATAATATTGTATATGTAAGTATTTTATTATACAATTGTATATGTAAGTATTTTTTGTGTTGCTCTTTTATAGCTTTTTATACCATTATCTTTTCTATTTCTTGTTCATTTTTTTCACATTAGTTTGATTATAATTTGTAATAAGTCTTGGCGCAACCTAATATTTTTTATTTTTTTGATTCTCCTCTTCCTTTGACGTACTGTGAGGGAACGTCTCATCTTAGGTTGCTGCCCACATCCAAACATATCTTGTACTATTCTATTGAAACACCAAGCGCTGAACCAACCACCATTTACTTTATTTGTTATTACTTGAAAGATATTGTACTTTGTGCCCATCATTGTCCATGTACTAATGAGTAAACTGCTATTTTTTTCATGTTTCTACATGTTTGTAAAAAAAAATGGACGTGGCACATTAAACATGTTTTGTGCAAGAAAATTTTGTAAAGTGATTTATTTATGGTGAATATTGTCCATCCCTGCAGGCATTTTCATGTAAACACTGCCTTTTCTGAGAAATGGCAGTGTTTACATTACAACCTAGGAGCACCTCTAATGGCCACTCCTTAGTCTGCCAGTACAGGTACTTTCTGGGTAAGTGCTGCACTGACGTTCAGCACCTGCATGCTCTATTAGGAGATGCTAATTAACCATGGCAGCCGCCCCTGACTTGACTCCTTGGCTGACATCAAAATTGAAGATCTCAGCCAATCCGATGCTTTCCTATGGAAAAGCATTGTGATTGACTGAGATCATCAGTTTAGATTATGTTAGCCAACTGGGCGGATCCGGCGCTGGCGGACTTGTGCAGCTCTAGAAATAAGGTACGTTTTTACTACATTGGGGGGGGGGAGCTAAATAGTTTAACACAATAGGGTCAGCAATAGACATTTGTGTTCCTGATACTGTAGTGTTCTTTTAATACACCGTTGACAACTTTATTTCAGTTTTAGGAGACACCAACAA